GTCGTCGTAGTCGCAGTCGTGGTCGTAGTCGTAGTCGTGGTCGTGGTCGTAGCAGTAGTAGTAGTAGTCGTAGTCGTAGTAGTCGTCGTCGTCGTCGTAGTAGTAGTAGTAGTGGCAGCAGCAGTAGCAGAAGAAGTAGCAGAAGCAGAAGAAGCAGCATCAGCAGAAGGAGTAGTGGTAGTAGTAGTTGTTGCTGCTGCTGGCTTGGCTGTTGCTTTTGTCAGACCGGTATTGATGCTATTGCTTTTGTCAGACGGGTGACTTGACCACAAACTCTTGTTTCTTGTGCATCTTGTCTACCACCAGTGCTTCCGCATCGTTCTGAGCAGCGTCCAGCGTATCCTTCAGGAAGACAGCACCTCAGTCCAGACAAATAGGCCCAGGCCCCTTCTAATTTTCGTGCTCCTTAGTGATAGCGCACGCTAAACCCTAAAACCCTCAACCAATGTAACCAGGCACTGATAACGCGAATAATCGCAAACACGACCAGTGTAATGTAGCAAACGAAGAATATGGCGAAGCCGTGGTTAACCTTCTCCAGCACCGGCCGCGTATTCGTGGGCCAATTTCCTTGCAAGTAACAAAACACCGTTTTTTGCGCACGGGATTTCCAGAGTTGAGTACCGGAGCCTCAATAATTAGCATAGGGTTAAGGGGTGTAGTTGCTCAGACCTCTATACTTACGAAGTGCTACAGTAGTTGCTCTGCACCCTGGTGTTTTCAAGTCGATCCGCAACACAGGCTAGCCCAAAAGATGCAAAAACATTTCTGTCACAAGACATGTCGCCAGCAAATGTAATTTCAAAAAACGTATAGAGGGCACGGTATGCAGTGCCATAATGCATCCAGATCCACTGACGATCGTCAAGATCTTGATCATCATCGTCCACGAAACTCTGCAGGAGATTTCCAAGCATAAGTGCGCCCATGGCCATGAAAATCAATAACAGAACCATTGACCAGCAAAGAGAAGGCAAGAAACATTGACATGCCTGAGCGGCAAAATTGGCGCTGTTATGGTCATGGTAGTTCAGGGATAAGGAACATCGAAGAACCGTGATGTATGTACTGCTTGGGAGGTCCTTAATCAAGAGAAATTGCCTTGACCAGCACGCGGAGACCGCGAAAAAACCGCAAGCTGCGCACCATTCCTGGGCTGACTCTTAGGTCAAACCCTAAACCCTAAACCCTAAACCCTAAACCCTAAACCCAAAACCCGGTTGGGGGTCAGGACTAACTAAACACTTTGGGTCTTACACCCTCGAGCCTATATACCCCAACCCGAAACGGTTAGGGTTCGGGTTTAGGGTGTAAGTCTGAGGGAACGCTGCCCTTTTGCTCCATAGTAGTTCCTTTTTGGGATTACCTGATAGGGTCCTTCGTATACCTTATTCCCCAATAAGCCAGGGAAATCAAAGGTTAAACTTTCAGATTGCTACTGAATTATAAGTATAAGAACCAAATAGTTGAAAGGTTGGGTATTGGAGAACTAACCCTAAGGGTCCAAGTACCTAATAATCATATACTCTCCCAAATATTAACCAAGAAAACTACTATCCACAAGCAAAGTACCTTATTATTGGGTCCTTTGGACCCTTTGGGCAAGATAAACCACAGAAAAGAACTATAGTGGAGCCTTTGGGTAAACCCAAACCGAGGGCTTCGACCTCGCGGGCGACTGCGCATCTGTGGTTTTGAAGCTCTCGCTGGATGTGAGGGCTACCTGAAACTACCATAGTTATTATAATCTATATACCTTTTTGTAGGTTCTTCATCATTCCGAAGCTCAATATGGGTAGTTCTCTAAATCAGGGGTCCCGTTTAGGGCCCTTTTTATAAGGGTGCCGTACTACATTGGGGACCTAAAAAGGGACCCTAATTTAGAGAACTACTCATACAAAATTTTTAGGGACCCTACAAAATCAGAGGCTCTGGTAGGCTAAAGCAGGATTAGGTGGATCAGGATGCAGGGACAGAGACGACAACGCCGTAAGAACTACCCTGGTTAGGGTTTAGGGTTTAGGGTTTAGGGTTCAGGGTTCAGGGTTCAGGGTTCAGGGTTCAGGGTTCAGGGTTTAGGGTTTAGGGGTATTCACAACACCGCAGCGGCTCAGTGCGGCTTGTCTTCTTCGTTTCGTTTGTGCTTCTCTTGGCATGGCTTGCGGAGCTCACCGAGGTGTGACTCACTGGTTGCTGGGCTGAGATGAGCTTTGCTAGAGAGCTCGGTGTAAAGAAAAAGGGAAGCGTTGAGGTTATAGGGTCTAGAGACGGTGTAATATAGGGGCCTCAATAATTACCTACATTAGTTGTGGGGGTTTCTTATTATGAATATACTGTAAAGGACCCCAAAACCCTATTCTAATTATTAAGGCCCCTACATTAGCTAGGCTGTACCAAGAGCTTAGGGAAAGCTCCAGGGTGGATCATGGGGGTCCCTAGAGGGTGGCAGGCCACCGACTGCGAACCAACAGATACCTTTGCCTTCACAGGAAAATAGCCTACTAGAAGACCATTACCCCGTGGTATGGAGATCCCTAAACCCTAAACCCTAAACCCTAAACCCAAAGTAAACTGGCCAGGACTAAGCTGAGTCAGGCCCGACGATTGCCCAGTTCTACGTAGAGCCCTCAAGCAACACTCACCCACCTGCGAGTCTTAGCCTGGTGCTTACGGTTTGGGGTTTAGGGTTTAGGGTTTAAGGTTTAGGGTTTACGGGTTTAGCGTTTAGGGTTTAGGGTGTGTTGAGGGGCACCGAGACTCGATGACGAACACTGAAAACGTTTGAGTTCAGAGCACGCGGAGGCTAACAGGCCCGAGGAAGACCTTAAAGCTCTGCAAGTCTGCAAGCAGGCTTTGCTTAATGTAGGGGCCTTAATAATTAGAATCGGGTTTTGGAGTATATTATACTACAACTATAATCAGGACCCCGAGAATACTATAGGTAAGTATTTAGGCCCCTATATATATTATGTTCAAAGAAAACCTCTGCTCCGTATGGAGGCACATACCAACCATTTCCTGAGGCTCCCAAAGAATCGTATCCTAGCAGCATGCTGCACATAAGCAGCATTGTCAGGATTCTAAGAGTAGTGAAGGACGGCGCGGACCCACGCAAGCCCTGATGTGATTTAGCGATGACGAAACCTGAATCAAAGTAAGAGCCAAGACGAAGTATGCGTGTAGGACATATAATATTACGACTGACTGCAGTATCCAGTGAGAATGTTTCGCATCTTCACAACCCTAATTCCTGAGGCCCTAAACCAAAAACCCTTAACCCAGAACTGAAGATCGCCATCCCTAGTTGCAACGGGGCAGCGGATGGCCCGAAAAGACTTCATGGCTCGCATAAGCCGGAGAATGACAATGCCTTTCTGAAGGCTGGGCTTTAGGGCCTTAAGTTTGCAAACTTGATGACACTGCCAAGCAGTTATAACGGGATACCCTAAACCCTAAACCCTAAACCACCAAGGATGAGCATTGGGGCTTTGATCCCGGGTTGGGTTTTGGATTTTGGGTTTAGAGGCTGGGCCTTCGGGCTTTAGAGGTTCGGCTTCAGGGCTGCAGGGTCGTTTAGGCTTTAGGGGTTTAAGGTTTGGGGGTTTAGGGGTGTAGGGGTTCAGGGTTTAGGGGTTTAGGGCTTAGGGCTTATAAGAGTTTGAATTTGTTTGAAGTAACAGTTAACCAGAGGAAACAAGTAAATGCTGTTTTCGTAGTGGATCCTTGAGGGTACAGGTCCAGGCACAATGTAACAAAGCATGGTACTCCAGACCCAGGAGAAGGAGAAATGCTGCGTGTTGGATGCAACAGCAGTAGAATAATAAGAGTGATCCTCACAACACACTAGGCAAACCTAAACCCTAAACCCTAAACCCGAAACCTTGTTGCACTCTCGGTTCGGTGCCAGGCTTGGCTCTGGACTTTAAGCTTTCAAGTAGCCAGACACAACGGGAACTACTCTTATTCTAAGGTAGAACCCATGGGCCCCTAGTATGGGCCCTTAAACCTGGGACCCTAATATACCTACTATATACCCTATATATACCCTTAAGGGACCCTAGAATCCCCTAAGGGCCCATGTTAGGGGCCCATGGGTTCAACCGTTGACTTATGCAGTGATCGGCATCTATCAAACTGTCTTTACCATTAAGCAGATCGGAACAGCAAAGCCCTGCTGCCGATGCCTGAACAACTATCACCCTGAGGGTCCATGTACCCAAATAGTATATACATTGGCCCCGAAGTACTTACATAGGGACTACTTTAAGGCCAAAGTGTATCTATTTGGGCAATATGGACCCTTAGGGTCACATTCGGTCAAGCTGCTTTTGGATGCCGATGTCTCCCCGACAAATGCAAGGTTGATGTACCTTGGCCACTCGAGCACGACTTGTGGGTGAACAAATCTGATCGAGAACAGAACTCACAAGCCAATTGCAGAAGACAACGAACCCTAAACCCTAAACCCTAAACCCTCAACCCTAAACTCTAAACCCTAAACCCTAAACCCTAAACCCTCAACCCTCGGAGCCAGATGTGCTACTCGGGGAATTACAGAAAACATAGAGGGCCTGCAGGCTTCGAGCTTCATATTTAGACGCTTCTTCTTCTCTGAATGTACCCTGAAACCCGAAACCCTACCATCAAGGCACTACTCCTCAGTTTAGGGGTTTAGGGTTTAGGGCTTAGGGTTTAGGGAGTATCGTGCTTGTAGATGCTGCTATTGCTGCCGCTTTCACGCGCATTGCTAAGGATTCGGGGAGCCGCCCTGGAGTTGGCTGGCAGGGTGAGCAATAGATGGTGGTCTTAACCTTGTCATCATCCCAATGAGGGGAAAAACGCCACTGCGCTCTTGTGTTGATGTTGGTGTTGTTGCCGGGTCCCTGCGGTTGCTCGCGTCTGTTGCTATGACTTTGTCATGTTCACTTCTGCTTCATTGTACTAGCAATCTCAGACCGAGTCGATCAGCAAAGGCACGAACATCACCAGTACTCACCCCCATGACCACCATGACCACCTCTACCCCTTCAGCACAGAATGTTTTTTTCGGAAACGTCGCCATGACAAAATTAGTTTTTACATATTATGCAGATGGAAGTACAATATGATGATGATGATGATGATGATGATGATGATGATGATGGCGATGACGATGAGGTTGATCATCATCATCAGCAGCAGCAACATCATTGTCGCCATCATGATCAAGACCATTGTCTGCACCATCTTCATCATCACCATCATTACAACGCGATCCTCGTCACCGTTGAAGCAGCTGCTGAAGGTGCATCTACAGCAGCAGCAGCAGCAGCAAAAGCAGGAGCAACATCAGCAGCGGCTGCACTAGCATTGGTTTTGTCGCCGTCACGTTGCTATCCGGCAGGATCGTCGTCGTAACTGATCAGAGAAACATCATGACCGTTGGTGATGCTACGAACTGGTAAGCCTTGTCAGCGTCGCAGCCGCTACAGGCCCTAGCAGTCTGAACGACATTGTCACATGAAATCCTGTTCAAACCTGCCAGCATGCTACAGTTCACTGTGCCAAATCTACAGATCAGGCTGTTTGTGGGCCGCCCCTGTTCACTTTCAGCTCATGTCCCGGCCGGAAGGTGAGAATTGAGCTGAGTGCATGAAATTTGTCGAGGGCGCGTATCGACCAGCCCACCAAGGACAAGGATGGTATCAAAAAGATTAGCGTAGTCTTTCACGAATTGCCACCTGCAGCAAATCGAGGATTCACGCTCAAAGATGGTGCCCCGTGCAAGTCCTGGACTGTTCATCTTTTGTTTGAGCTATTTGCGTGCAGCGGACTTATGTCGGAGCTCTCGAAGTAACGCAGGATGTACGGTGGGTGCACATTGTTTGGGTTCTCGTGTGTTGCTTCAAATCTCTGAGGTTGTCACAATGGAATGCCTGCTGAGCGGAATTGGGTGGTGCGGACAGGGTACTTAGAGGATCATGGGACTTAGTAACTAGGGTTACAAGTACCTTAATTGGGGTTATAAGCAATCATAAGTATAGTTACCTTATTTATAACCCTAGTTACTAAGTCCCATGATCCTTCAAGTACTGCTTGTGTAGTGCAGCTACTCAGGAGGACCACGGAGGCGACATCTAACTGCGAAAGGAAGAGGCGGATGCTGCTGAACGAGACGAAAATGACGATGGTGATGGCGACCGCGACGATGACCATGATGACGGTGATAATGACGACAGTGAGTATTGTAGTATGCTGCTGCAGATGGAAGTACAATATGATGATGATGATGATGATGATGATGGTGTTGATGAAACTGATGATAAAGACGGAAACTGACAACGGTGCTTGCGAGGACTGTGACGATGGTGCTGCAGTTGATGTTGATGAGGTTGATACTGATGACAGTGTAGGCGATGAACAAGCTGGTGATATTACTGTAGCGCAGCACAAACTCTGAGGGCCCATGTACCGAAATAGTCTGTACTTACACTCTAAAGTAGCTACACAGGGTACATTAAGGCCAATGTATATACTATATGAATACATGTACCCCTAGGAAAGTGCGCGAAGCATGAGTCCCATCCGCTCACTGCTTCCCGAAGCCCCCCCAGGCGGAAACCGAACCCTAAACCCCCTGAAACCCTTTAGGGCGTAGGGCTTTGGACTTAGGGTCAGTGCTTGGGACAGCGAGTCCTGAAGACCTACATACAGCTATCTCTAACTTTAAACTTTCAACCCTCATACTCCAGATCAAAACCCTCGCCTTACACCCCGAAACCTTAAACCCCAAGCCCAACCGAGCCAAACCCTAAACCCTAAACCCTAAACCCCAAGCCTAAACCGAGCCCAGGCCTCTCGACGGATATCCGAATAAGCCACTCGACGAGAAAAATGAAGACAAAGACGATGTCAACCTCGTGGGTGGGATTAGGGTTTAGGGCTTTTGAGGGTTTAGGGTTTAGGCTTAAGGGCTTCGGGTCTAGGGTTTAGGGTTCAGGGTTTAGGGTTTTTGAGGGTTTTTGAGGGTTTAGGGTTTGTTTCTTCCAGCAAGAGGGTGGTAGTCGTAAAGACCCTCTTCATGCTTAGGCGCGCATAGTCTAGTCGTAATGTGCCTGACTTCATCCTGTTTTTCAGCCTAAACCCTAAACCCCTAAAGGCCCTAAGCCCCTAAAGTTCTAACGGCCCTAAACCCCTAAAGGCCCAGAACCCCCAAAGGCCTTAAAGGCCCTACTAAACCCCTACACCCCTTCGTTCTCAAAAAATCGCCGAACTCAGCCCGGAACGGCAGCGCTCGGCTGTATAAACTTCGAACCCATGAGGCTCCATGGGCCTACATACACTGGGTTTCGGGTTTTGGGTTTAGGGTTTAGGGGTTTAGGGTTTAGGGTTTAGAGTTTAGGGGTTTTAGGGTTTAGGGTTTAGGGTTTAGAGTTTACGGGTTTAGGGTTTAGGGTTACACACCCTGGGTTTAGGGTTTAGGGTTCAGGGTCACATGCACTGGGTTTACGGTTTAGGAGTGGCTCCTTAAGGGGCTCGGGTCTAAGAGTTCCTGTAGGGGCCTTAATAATTAGAATAGGGTTTTGGGGTCCTTCATAGGAGAATGATAATAAGGAACCCCCAAGATAATATAGGTAATGAAGATTGAAGATGTTGCAAGACCGTAGGGCCCAGGGCTACCTCCGCAACGCATATGAAACATCCTCAACAGACCCTCAGTAAGACTTAACCTAAGGGTCCATGTACCCAAATAGTATATACATTGGCCTTAATGTAGTCCCTATATAAGTACTTTGGGGCCAATATATACCGTTTGGGTCCATGGACCCTTAGGGCCACCTACAAAACATGGCAAGGGGGAGCCGGACTTGACACTAGGTCCGCGGCAATCTGCAGAGCCGGAATCACCTGTGGTTAAAGGAAACTACAGGTGGGGAGTTTAGGGACTAAAGGAGGGACCCTTAAAGGGACTGTTGGGGTTTAGGGTTTAGGGCTTCTGTTCTCGCACTCGTGGCTCAGCGGCTAAACCCTAAACCCGTGGGGTGCGATGGGGGGGTTTGGTGGGGGGAGGGGGGGAAACGTCTCTACCGACGTCAACCCTGAACCCAACACTGAAACCCAGGAATCTTATTGTAAGGGGTCCTAAGTACCTCTAGGGGTTTAGTGTTTAGGGTTCCTTTCAGGGTTCCCTTAAGGGTCCGAAGTTATGTGGTAGAATGTAGGGTTTTTGAGTTAGGAATGGCCATTATGATTCGGAGAAGTGTTCCCCAGAACAGTATCTAGGACCGTAGCGGTTATCTTGTACGAGCAAACAGAATCGCTGTAAGTGACAGTGGACCGTGTCACCGCAAGCAAGGGGCTTACACCCCCCCAGAAGGAAAGACAAAGAAACACATAAAGAACACAAGCCAAGAAAAAACAAACATAGAACTGCAGACAGAAGAACGACATATAGAACAAAGGTGCCGAAATTCCGCAAAAAAACGAAATGACATCACACGGATAGGAAGAAAAAAGCAAGCAACGGACAAACGTGAGTAGAAACAACGAAACGTAGGAGTGATGACCGTTGTCAACAAACCAAAGAGGGACTCTGCTTCGCATGTAGTTTAACAGTACATATGAACAAGGGCACTAGACTAGCTAGCAATCCGGCTCCTGAGTTGCACCGCGTGATGCCAAGAACAGCTGCACATCGAGGAGGAGAGGCATTTTGGTGTCTCTGTGTGAAGACCAGGGGCAAGCTAGTCGTTCAACCGTGGTAGTGAGTAGCAAACATGTCAGTAAGTTGTTCTGAGAAGAGCAGGATGTCCGGCAGAACATATAGGCGGTGCTGGCAAACCAACAGCTTGAGCAACAGCAGCAGTAATAACACTAACACCACCACCACCACCACCA